TACCCATCAGCTGCTTCCGGGGTCCCACAAGCCAAAAAGGCCCGATAGGACTCTTTCATCAGCCTGACAGCATCCCTCTCCGCCGGTGTCCACCACTGGGTTCGAGGGTTGCCGCCACATCAGGCACCGACAACCTTGCGGCCACAGCTCCGGTAAGCCACCTCGACAATAGAGGCACGGAACATGGCCCACTCAGACTCAATGTCCCCTACCACCCCCGGAACATGTTCGAAGTTCTCCTGGAGGTGGGAGTTAAAACTCCGTCTCAGATTTGGAGGAACTGATCTTCATCCTGGCTGTGCAATGTGGGACTTTTATTGTGAAAGTTAATGCTCAAACAGTTTATTTATTATTTACCTTTATTTAACCAGGCAAATCCTACTGAGATCACAAATCTGTTTTGAAAGGTAGGTCTGGGCCTGCAGGCAGCCTAACATGCATGTTTTTAGACTGTGGGAGGAAACCAGGGTACCCAGAGAAAACCCCCACAAACACGAGAACATGCAAACTCCATACAGAAAGACTCCAGCTCCAACCTGGGGACTGAACCCAGGACCTTTTTTGCTGAAAGGCAACAGCACTAAGCTGTCACGCTGCCCAAATGTGAGACTAAAGCGAGTTTTAATGAGGGTGGGTGATGGGGTGGAGGAGTTATAGAGTCTAAGGGGAGGAAGGTTTCCTGTTGTGTTCAGAGTAGTACAGCACTTTATTCCTGTCAGTCTGTGATGAAAAATGTTTTTCAGTCCAGCTACAACACTGAGAAATGGGGTGATCCGTATTATTAACTGACTGAAGCCTGGTCAACATACTGTTTCCAGGGAATCTGGTACTACACCAGCCCAAACACCTCTGGATTTGTTTGGTAGGCCTTCTGGTGTCACCACCTTCATTCATCCTATGCCCTCAGCAGAAGATGGTACTGGTCAGTATGGGGTTGTAGATGTTAAACAGTCTGAGTCTGCACAGGACATTTAGCTGATGCTGGCCCTTTATATGTGGCCAGTGAGTTCTTTGATCAGTCCACCTTACTGTCCAGGTGCTCCCCCAGATACTTGTATTCCTGAACAATGTCAGTTTCCATTTCCCAAATGGACAGTGGACGGGGCAGAGGTTGGGATCTTCTCAGGTCCATCGCCAATTCTTTGGTTTTTCTGACATTGAGCTGCAGCTAACCTAACTCGCACCAGTCACAAAGAGACCACAAAGAAAAACATTAATGTGTTGAAACAATGCAGAAGCAGCATTAGACTGATTCCTACTCACGTCAAGCCTGACAACCATATCACTACAATTACGATAAAAAAATCTTAAATATTCTCAGCTAGTTCTTTAAATTCAGTAAAGAACATTTTGATTTATCCATCCATCCACATCTTTAGCCATTTCTTCCTTTCCAGGTTGTGGGGTTCACTGGTGCTGTTGGATTAAAAAAAATCCTCTATTCATCTTTACTTACTCGACGAAGCCACACTCGATGACAGAAGAAGATTTTTTAACTGGTTTTACTTGCAAGGGCAGACTTTCACAACAGGTTACACAGGTGTACAGACGTTTTACAAGAGTGGAGCCCAGGCACTAGAAACTGCCACAGGCAGCGTGTGAAGCTTGTATTTATACCTTCGACCTTGAAGCAACAGCTGCACGCCTGCAGTCTTAAATTAGCTCCTCACCCAGCTCACCCTGTTAGTGGGCAGTTAACATTCTCAGCCATTGTGGTTAAAAACATCCATAAAGCTTGACTAGAATTCATCTGACTGGTGTCCATATCTAGCACCCATATCACTGTGAGAGAGGCGGGGGACACCCTGGACATGTCTCCAGTCCATCACAGGGACACAGAGAGACAAACAAAACAACCATTCACTCTCTCATTCACACCTAGAGACAGTTTAGAGTTTAGTCAGTTTAACATGCATGTTTTTGGTCTGTGGGAGAAAACCCACGCATGCACGGAGAGAACATGCAAACTCCACCCAGAATGGCCAGGATTTGATCCAGCAACCTTCTTGAGGAGAGGCAACAGCTCTACCAACTGATCCACCGTGCCGCCCACTTTGATTTGTGTTTTATAATTTAATTTTATATTTTTATAAACACATGTTTGAAAACTGGTAATGTGTCCGGGTGTGGGGCCACTGGAGATAAACACTCCTGTACGGAAAGAAGGTCAAGAAAATGTTTGGAAGTTTGAGATATTTTCAAAATACAATGAGGCTTTAGACACTCCCATCCAGTCATATTTTAATGATCTGTTTTTACTATACCAAAAAAACCTGTTTTACTTTGTTCCATGTATACAGACCATCATAACCTACACTTCACTGTTTTTTAAACCGTTCTCACTTTTCTTGGAAAGTCAGCAAAGCAGGTTCTTTTGAGCAAACATTTTACATTTCTTTCTTTCTCATTCATTCATTCATTCATTCATTCATTCATTCATTCATTCATTCATTCATTCATTCATTCATTCATCCATCCATCCATCCATCTGTCCCAGGACTCCCTTGAGGAAGAATTATTATATCTTACTTAAGATAACAAAAGCATTGGGGTTTTTTCTCCAGGCAGGAACAGGTTGCAGGTGGAACTAATGTTGCAAAGCCTCGTTGCAGCCCGAGCCAATTTAAGGGACACACAAAACAATAAATCTATCTACAACAGCCTAACATTAACAGAGTGTAAACACAACA